CTTGTCTTGTTCCTGATTTTAGAGGAAAAGCTTTCAGTTTTTCTCCATCCAGTACAATGTTGTCTTTATAATGTTTGTCTATGGCTTTATAATGTTGACGTAAGTTCCTTCTATCCCTAGTTTCTCCAGTATTTTTACCATGAATGGTTGCTGCATTTTACCAAAGACCTTTTGTCCATCTATTGAGGAATCATATGATCCTTGTTCTTTATTCTATTTTAAGTGATGAGTTGCATCAGTTGATTTGCATATGTTGAACCAGCCTTGCATCCCTGAGATACAGTCTACTTGTTTATGTTGTGTTATCTTCTTAAAATGTTTTTGAATGCAGATTGCTAATATTTTATTAAGAATTTTTGCATCCATGTTCATCAGGGATATTGATCTGTAGCTTTCATTCCCAGATGGGTCTTTGTCTAATTTTGGTATTAGGGCTATTCTGACTTTATAGAATGTGTTCAGGAGTGTTCCTTCCCTTTCAAGTTCATGGAATAATCTGAGAAAAACTTGTGTTAGTTCTTTTTTTTTTTTTTAAAGATCTGGTAGAACTCTGCTGAGAATCCATCTGGTCTTGGGCCTTTCTTTATTGGTAGACTTTTAATTGCTGTTCTAATTTTATTACTTGATATTGGTCTGTTAAGTTTTTTTAAAAATATATCTTCCTGGTTTAGTTTGGGCAAGTTGTATGTGTCTGGAAATTTTTCAATGTCTTCTAGATTTTAGAATTTATTGGAGTATAAGTTTTCAAAATAATTTTTAATGATCCTCTGGGTTTCAGACGTGTAACTGCTCCTTTTTCACCTTTAATCTTGTTGATTTATGTCTTCTCTCTCTTTTGGTTAGTTTGGGTAAGGACTCATCAATCTTCTTTATTTTTTCGAAGAACCAACTATTTGTTGTATTGATCCTATGTATTGTTTTTTATTCTCAATATCATTAATTTTGGTTCTGATTCTTACTGTTTCTTGTTTTCGCCTTTCTTTGGTGTTATTTTGTTCTTTTTCTAAGACTTTTAAGGTGAGGCATAAGCTTATTTATTTGGAATCTCTCTCTTTTTTAATATAGGCACTAAGTGTAAAGAATTTTCCTCTTACACTAGTTTCATACTGTCCCAAATATTTTGATATGCTGTACCTTTGTTTTCACTTGTTTCTAAGAATTTCTTGATTTCTTCTTCCATTTCTTCTTTGATCCATTCTTCATTTAAAASAGTATTGCATAATATCCATGTATTCATGTGGTTTCTATTATTTTTTCTTGCTGTTGATTTCTAGTTTCATTCCATTATGATCTGATAGAATGCATGTATTCATGTACTTAAATTTGCATGTCCTGTTTTCAAGGCCTGAGATTCTGTCTTCAAGGGCTGAAGCTCTATTTTATACTTATAAGCAATCTACTCTGTTAGTGGTACTTTCAAATAGATTTTTAATTTAATTCATTGTATGTTTCATTTCTAGGAGTTCCTATTGTTTTCTTTTCAACATTTGTATTTCTTTATTGAAGTGATATTTCATCTCTGCATTTTCTCTCCCAATTTATTCCTCAGATCTTCTTTTAGTTCATTTAACATTTTAACAATCAATTTTTTATAATCCTTCTCTAGAATTTCATACTTCTTTATCTATGGGACCCTTTGTTAGAGGGCTCTGAGTTTTGGGGGGGGAATTTGCTCACCAGTTTCCTCATGTTTTCAGAAGTTCCCGGACATGAGCATCAATTGAGGTGGATCCCCATTCTTCTTTAATACACATGTCCTTTTAAAACTAGGATTTCTTTCAGTTTTTGAGAAACGTGTAGATGTCAAGGTGGGGGGGGACCTGAAGTTCCATTCTGGTTGTTTCTCCTTCTAGCTTGGTTTTTGTTTGGGGATTTTGTATCCCCACTTCTATTAATTGAAATCATATTTAGGCTCAGTTGGAATTAAATCTTGTGTGGGGTGAGATTCACTGTTGTTTGACTAGGTTTTGATAATTTCTTGGCATCAGGATTTCTGCTCTGTAATCTTGAAGCATTCCAATCATTTTTTCAGCCCCTCTTAGAGGGAGGGGAGAGCTAGGAATAGCACTAATGTCAGTAACTGATGGATACAAATAAATGTCCAGAGTCTACTTTGACATCTGTAACATTAATTGCCATCTATATAGSAATGATGGGGTGTAAGGATTCTGACCATGGAAATGTACAGGGAAGTGTTCCTCTGGTAAGAAACCCACCCCCCTGGGGAGGGGGGTAACAGGCACCCTGTTTCCCATCCTTAGAATATCCTGTAATCTCTCTTAAGATCTAATAATATAGCTAATATATGTGCTATGTCTAGCTGGTATGGCAATGCCCTGAGATGCCTCTGTGTTAGAGCCTCTTCAAACTTCGACCTTGATTGCAGGCACATAGCTCCTGTGGATAGAAGAAATTGTTTGCTAGATAACTACGATGTTTCATCAAGCTCTGGTGCTTCTGAAGCTGCCCGACTAACAGTAACTTCGAACAATAGACTTTCTTAAGGACTGCACAATGCTCCTAATATTGCATATTGTAACTGTGAAATGTAACTACAGAATAAGCAACCTTACTGATACTCTAAGCAATAATGTGGTTATGGTACTAATGACCTAATGTAACCTTTTGGTATAAATAAATGTGGCTGCTTGGACACCTTCCCTGCCTCTGCACCCTATGTCTCTCCTTATTATTGTTCCTTTCAGTGGGGTCAATGATTAACATCAGTACCACTAACATAAAACTGTGAACAAGATCCAGCATTTGACATCAAGTGTCTACTATGTCGTACACTGCATTAAGAATCACTTCAACATGAATGGGGAATGAATTGCACAAACTATATAATCCTATTATTTAGTATGATTACAGTTTTTTAAGTAAAGAGAAAATAGAGTGGGAAGGTGTTAAAAAGCTTGAAATATTTTAAAAGAGATCAGAGGACAAACAGGAGATAGGTAGCAGATGTCAGCTAGATTAACTGAAARTGATAAAATAAAGAAAGTGAGGAAGTGGGGGCAGGAAAATTTGGTTGTTAGTAGGGGAAGAGAGCAAAGAAGGGGAGATAAGAGAGGCCAGAACCACAGTATGAGCAAACTGGCAACTGTAAGAGCTAATCAACTTGAACTTGAATGTACTTGAACCCCACCTAAGACAAATCAAGGCTAAATAATAAATAAGTGCAGAATGAAGCAATTGATACAAATATAAAATTATAACAACATATATATATTTTTTTCAAATTTATATGCACAATTAAGTCACACATACACATACATGTACAAATAATCATGCATTATAGAAAAAAGCAAAAATGTAGTACAATATGATAAAATGACGTTTGGAATTTTAAGAAAATAGTTAAAAATTTAAAAAAGAAGAAATATGGAATAAAAATGGGAGTATGATAGGAGAGAACACAAGTGAGAAAAAAAGAAAAAAAAAGAAGTAAGGTAAAAGAGAAAACTACCTTGCTGATAAATAAGGAGATTATTTCCGCTGAGGTGGTCAAAACTGTTGGCAGGGATGGAATTTCTATCTTCTTAGTTGTTTTTGGTTTTGTACCTTTGGGGTTGAGGGTTGCTGCCTGTCTTTGTGGTTAGGAGGAACAACTGGTTGTAACAGATCTCAGCTTCCAGTCCCCTGCTATAATGTGGAGTATCACAGTTTGGGTGCTGACAAATGATATCCTTCCCTGACAGGGGGAGGGAGTATTCTAAATTGGGGATTCTAGTAACTGAATTTTCATTTCAATTTTATTTTGGAACTCTGGGGATGGCAGCTTGAGAATCAGTCCCTATTCTCTATTACTGGGGAGATACCAGTAGCTGCAGGATGCCATAACTTCTGGAGTCTCTATCAAACTCAACTTTTAGGGTGTAGGGATAAAACCTTATCAGTTTTCAGCTTCCTCACYATATACATGAAATACCAGCTATCTGTTCCTGTGTGTCCACTACAGCACCAGCAATGAAAGTGGCTTTCTCCCTTGAGACCCAGGATCTGAACTGTCTAAATACAGTTTTCTTTGTGCCTGTTTTGATATTTCTGGTTCAGGTGTGTTCTGGGATTTTTTTTTTTAAGTTGGCTGCAGGTATTCCCTATTTTCTGTCACTGCTATCAGTTGTATCTGGTGGCGCTGGAGGTGTTCCTTCCTGTCTGGGACTATAGTGGCCAAGGTGGTGGTGGCGGGGTGGGGGGGACATTGTAGGGGCTCTTTTTGTCAGGTGCATGCGCAGATTGAGGCAGCTGTGGCAGCCTGATTTTCTCTGTGTGGGGTGCCCGGCTGCAGTGGGTGCCCTGTACCCAGGTAGTCTGACTACAGACTTGGTAGTCTTTGGTACTGAGTGCTCTGAATACTGCATCCTTTCCCCCTGACCAGGTGTGCATTCAGAGTGTTTCCCATTCCAGGGAAACTAATTGTGGATTTGCTTAAAGTAAGCCACTTCCCCTACTGACTCTGTGTCCATTAAAATCAGCCTTCCTCTCTAACACAGGTTTCCTCAAGCCAATATTTCATTTCTTTTTTTAAAATTATTATTTCTAATCTGCCATTCATACCTTCTCCTCTGTTTGTCTGGGATGTTCAAGTTTCTGATTTTGTGTCTTTATAATTTAAACTTTTTAACAGTTCACCATTAAATTTCATTTTTTTTTTTTTAAACCCACCTTGCGGAGAAACTCTTCTTGCATTGAGTCCTACGCTGAGGTACTGATGTGAGGTGCTTCTTTCCCCTAAACCACAGTCTTCCTTCCTTAGATTTATTTAAAGCTATTCACAGAAGTTAAAGTTTAAAGAAAATAAGTTTTTACCACATGCAACACACTCTTTTTTTTAGCTTCACTCAGTATTGATTTTAAATGTCTATACAGTTTATTAATTTGAAAAAAAGTTAACAAAGCATAAAGTACATTGATAACTGCTCATACAAAAAATATTCATAAATAAGAAATGTAAGCTGTAGTTTTACATTGCAGTAGGAAATATGTCAGGTAAACAATACTGCACACACCTCTATCATTCACTGGTTGGTTTCTRCCAGAATGTGCAAGGACATTTGGGTCTAATGACAATTTATCAGATGTTTATTGATGTTCATTTCTTGGTGTATGTAAATTACATCATCTGAAACTCTAGTTTTTCATATTAAATAACTTCTTAAAAGTGAAGGCAACATTTCTCTAGGGCAAAATTAAAACAGCTGGGTATGATATCATTCCCATGTCTCCTGGAAATTTTCATCAATCTCAAAAGGATGGATTTTGTTCCAAKCTGGCAAATTTGGATTTAGCAGGAAGAGTGGGTCACTTGTGCAATATTTCTTTGAGGAAATGACTGATTTGGAAATCTTGTAYTCTTATAGTTATTAGTATTAATCACTGCTTGTAAAGAGTATTGCCCAAAGCAGGTGTATTTAATAAACTTCAAATACACCTCTGTGGTGGTGYGAATTTCATCATATATACACAAATATTTTTGGTGCAACAAAATTGGTTTCATCTCCTCATAGCTATACATAAAAGAGCGATAATTTATGGAGATAAGAGTAAAGGAGTATTATTGAAAGATAGACACTTTTAAAATTATCACAAATCAACAAAGAACTAATCTGAAAAAATTACATTTGCATTTTCTTAAAGAGCATATATTACATAAAAGTTTAATTTTTTTTAACTATAAGTGCTAAATGTTTCATTTCCTGAGATTTGTTGGAATTAATCAAAGGTCTTAAAGTATGCAAAGAGGAAAGAAATGTTTTCCCTCAATTTCAGGCTGAACTGTGAATCAACAATCTCCATCAATTATTTTCTGTCATTTTTCCATGCATCAGATTTTTAATTTGTGATATAGTTACATTGAAATTTATTTCTTAACTACTCATCCTAAATTATGTTCAGCTTAAAGATGGCATGTAAGTAAAAATTACTAGTACTAAACCTTTGTCATTATTAAGTAGCTTTCTGCTTTTGAAGTGCAAACATAGAAAATGAGTTTTTTTGCATCTGTTTTGATTTATATAACAATTCAAGTATCTCCTTTAAAAGGATTTTCTAAAAACTTTAATATTTATGAACCACAGATTTAAATAATATTTTCTGGAAGGCAGAATATTCCTTGAATATCCTTTGTTTTAATCCTGACTTATACTATACAGTTTAAAAACCTAGCTTTGGTTTGAATTGTACTTTTTAATAGTTTATCATAAATTTTTATCCACAGACTCAGTTAATCATTTAGAAAAAATACAACATCTGTTGTGTGAAGGAAAGCTTCAGACTATAACATTTCATTTAAAAAGCTATATTCAAATAAAGATGTGGTCTKAATGTAAGTCATTTGTACTTATTTTCAATTATGGCTGATAACTAAAATGTTCATTGGGTTTTGACATGAGATGGAGTTGTGTCATAGTCCTGAAAATGAATTCCTTTAGAAGTTGTGATCTTCATTATAGCACCATTGAAAGCATCGTCTTCAATGAGTGTTAGTAATCCATTGGCAATCATTGATGGGCTAAAAATAAAGGAAATATTGGTATTATGAAACTGAAGAATGAGGTATATTGTCACTTCAAGTTATATCTTGAAAAAAAGTCTATGACCTTGAAAGTATAATAAGAAAATATATATCATTAAATTACTGTTATCTCCAATTAGATACTAATTAAATTATAAGATAAATTTAGTGGTAGATCCCATGCCTAATGTTTTGTAATTTGGGCAGGAACTATTTGTTGTCATTCTTTATATTGAGAAGATAATTAGTTTCTCATCTTTATMATATAAGTAGATCTTAGATTTATCAGATACAACTTTTTTTTTTTTTGTATCAGGAATTGAACCCGAGGTGCTTTACCACTCAGCCATATCCCCATCCCTTTATATTCTATTTTTAAAATTTTGGGATAGGGTCCTGCTAAGTTGCTTAGAGCCTTACTAAGTTGCTGAGGCTGCCTTTGAACTTGTGTTTCTCCTGCTTCAGCCTGGTRAGTTGCTGGATTACAGGCCACCACACCAACAAGATACAAAATTTTTAAAGGGAAAATATGATGAATTATAGGTGGCATTTATTGAACATCTTATTTTTTACCATTTGCTAGCCATTTTAAGTACCCTTCATTTATCATCTTATTCAAGTCTTTCCAAAGTCTCTAAATTTGTTTTGGCATTATCCGCATTTTACATGCCAGAATATTGAAGCATCTAGAGGTTTGATGGATATGTTGATAGTCAGTGGAGGAGTCAGGATTTGATCCCAGTTCCAAGTGAAAGCTTCAGCCACTCTTACTCAGAAACAATTCACTGTGTGTGTGTGTGTGTGTGTGTGTGTGTGTGTGTGTGTGTGGTCATTTGTTTCTATGAAAATGTTTAATTATGTGACCATAAAAATTTCATAAGGGTTACACTTAAATATTGCCTAAAATTTAGGTAGACAAGGTATAATTTCAAGGCAAATTTCATAGTGTATAAACACATTCTATTCAAAAATTGATAAAATTGTTTTCTTTCAAAGAGTTTGTCAACCCCAACTTTGAAGCTTGCAATAATTTCTCAAATTTAAAAGCTTACTCTTCCCTTTTATTGCTTGTCTATATAGTATTTTGCTTCATTATTTAAAAGAAGAGAAATATAGTTTTACTTACTCCAAGATTCCATAGAATTTCATCAAGTCTTTGATGTGATCTTTATATTCTATGTATTGTCCCATGTTTTCTTCTTTTTCAATGGATTCAAGGATGGGCGTGTTGACAAAGCCTGGACAAATGGCGTTCAGTCTCACACCACTGTTCATAAGGTTAGCAGCCATCTGCCAATTAGAAGCAGAAGCCAAACTGAAATTAAAGTTATTAAACATATTGATATAAAARTTGCTAATAAGATATCCTCTGACTTGTAACTACATAACAATGAYTGGTAAGCAGAAAGACAGGAAAAGAACATATACCTAAGTACTGAATTCATTCCTGCAGATCTTACCTAATTGCTTTTTTTTAAGGTAATATTACTGGACAACTCCTGAAAATACTTAATTCTCTAAGATGCTCTTATCTATTGAAGTTGAAAGAACCGGAAGCTAAGCAGCTGAGTCTTAGAATTGATATCTAAAGCTTTCTTTCAAGATTGTGGTTGTATAACAGAAAATATTTGCTTAGAAATACTTTTGTGGAAAATTTTAGGACCTTAACGGATTTTAAAGATACTTTACATAACTTGCACTATCTGGAAAACAAGTGCTATTTTCAGGTTAATATTTATTGGCATGATTTTCAACCTATTGATTTACCTGAATCATTTGTAAAATAAAATACAGTTTATTCTCATTATTTATTTGTGAATTCCATATTTGYACATTTGAACACTTGCTAAAATTGACTCATCATCCCAGTGAACAATACTTGTGGAGATTTTGTAGTCACCTGTGGACATCCTCGAAGCAGTTTAGGGTCACAAATGCATATATTCCTGCTAAGATTAAGATTCACCTTGCCCTGTTTTTCTTTTATGCCTTTTGTTGGTAATTATCCTATTTAAAATGGCCCTCAAGTACAGTACAAAAATGCAGTTTAGTGTTCCTGGGTAAGAAGGCTGTGGTATGCTTTAGAGAAAACTTGTGAGTTAAATAATGTTCGTTCAGGCATAAGTTATAAAAGATGTTAGCCATAAGTTAAGTGTTARATAACATATAATAAGTAAGTTATATTTAAATAGAAATCATGTATAAAACAAGGTTATTATTGAGTGTTTGATAAAAATGTGATCACAGGCTTTCTGGAACTTAATCCTTTTTCTCCTCTAGAAGCAATGGTCCGCACAGTCACTAATTCAGTTGACAAGCAACTTCACAGAACATAACTACTGCAAATAATGAGAATTGATTGCAAATGTTTCTGGTCTAACTGTGAAGTTTCTGATCTTTTAGATTTACTTTGTTTTGTCTTACTGCATTTAAAAAAAAAGGTTGAACTGAAGATTAAATCTTTGCAAACCCAATAATAATTTCTAATTCATTTAAATTAARAGTGTGAGAACTGTTCATCTTTGCCTTTGAGTGAACAGTTAACTTTCATAAATTTTTTTTCTAGCATTTTTAATTTTGTTAACATTTTTCTTATCTTTCTGCTCCTCTCTCACTTAGAGGAACCACCCAGAAACCTTGATTGTTTTTCCCTCTGTTATGCTTGTGCTTTTTAATACATTTTCTAAATAGCAGGCAGAATGATTTTCTTAAAATTGAAACATAGTCTTATCACTCTTATGCATAAAAGACCCACCAGTAGCTGCACTCAAGAGTAAAATCCAAGCTCACACTGTCAGCTTTTAAGTCCTTTTTGGTCTGCTCTACTTACATCTCTGGGACTGTCTGATCCTAACATTCTCTTTCCTTTCTAGGCTCCATTCAAGCTGCCCTTATAAAAAGGCAAGCATTTTCACATTAGGCTATCAAAGCATGTGGTCAATTAGGTCTAAAACATGTTTCTAAGCTCTGAATACCCTTCACTGTAGGCCTCCAAGGCAACCCTKTCCTTGAGTACTCCATCAAGTAAATGCCTGATTGGATTCCTCCTTCAGCCCCAAACACTATTTTCATCATATCTCCAGGGACAGGCAATGTCTTCATGTTCTACTTAAGAAGCTTGAATTTGGTAATGCTGGAATTTGGAGTTAATTTTGAAAAACAAACAGTATTTCTTCATTATTTATCCTTAAGGTATTTTTCAATAACATACCTATGTTTAGAATCTACTTCATTTTAAAACGATGTACCTTTTATTTAGTTCTCCACATGATCTGAAAACTATTTTTTTTATATAATAAAAGTTGATATAAATATTATGCTTTCATCTTTAATCTAGATGTACTGAATTCTTAATTTATTTTCCTCTACTTTATAAAGTCTGTGTTCATATAGATGTATAAAGAAAAATATCAACAACTAAACAAAATATAAAAAAGAAAAAGAGATATCGTTGTTATTGCATCCTCACCGCTGCCGAACGTGTGAATCCAATTATGCCGTGCTTGGAGGCACAGTACACAGGCTGCTGCGCAACAGGCATGAGTCCTGAAAAAGAGGAACGAGAGGCTTAAATAATTTGATTAAAAAATGAGACTATATCCAATAATGACTGTGCAAGTACACGTTTTATGGCCATTTCAGTTTAATTTGGAAAATACACTAAAATAAAACCTGGTGACTTTGTAAAACTCAATAGCCTTAGCACAGCTTCTCTCTGTGACCTCTGTAGTCCAGAATTTATGGTAGGTAAGTTACATCTTCGTGCAGCCAAGAGTGATATGTAAGTTCTTCTGCTTCCCTGGCTTTCTGGAAGTCAAGGAAAATCAATTCCATTGAAAGCAGAGAATCATCTTTAAAGACAGTTAGTTACCATGTACTTTTCAGTTTTTAAGTTCAAATTTTCAGAAAAGTATATATTCAACTTTTTTTTTTTTTTGTGAATGGGATTGAATCCTGTAGGGAGGTCTACTTCTGAACTACATCCCCAACCCTATTTATTTATTTATTTATTTATAGACAGGGTCTTTCTAAATCCCTGAGGCTGGCTTTGAACTTGTGATTGTCCTGCTTCCTCTTGCCAAGTAGCAGGGATTACAGGTGTGTGTCACCACACCCAGCTATATTAAATGTTTTTAAGGCTTCCAAATAGTTGAAGGATTTTGAATTGCTTAAGAGGAACTTAGAGATTATAGTTCTTCATTATAAGTTAGTATGCACTTCCCTGTCACCAATTTGCCTCATGTGATCACATGTAATGCCTCTAAGAGTTTAGTAAAATTAAAAATAAACATCTTTTGATGTAGGTCTGTTATATATGGGTAGGCTCTTGTTCCATGATTTAAGAGAAGAAGAAATAAAAATTTATGTTCTTATTTTATTTCTTGTCATAATTATATAGTCAATAAAAGAATATAGATTGTTAATTTTCCCCAGGTATATAATGGTAACTGATTAAATTCATGGTCTGGACAAAACCGAACAGTATTATAGTATATTCAGTGTCTTTTCTCCCTTAATTCCTGGTCTAGCCCAATCATTTAAAAGGAAACCAAAGGACAAAAACAAAACAAAAAAACACCCTATTTTACTGCAGTAACTATCAAGCATATTTCTTATTTATTGTCAAGACAAACTATCAAATTTAACTTTAGAGTCAATTTTATATTTTAGTTTCTAGCTAATTTCTTAGATTAACTTGGCTTAACACTTCTTTTGTAATTTGTAATTTCTCTGAGTGGTCTCTGATTACTATGGTATTAGTATCAAATGTCATGCTAATAATACTAAATTATTCTGCTGAGTGTGTTCATCTCCACCCAGCTAACTAGTTTCAGAACACCACCAATCAGTTGAGAGTGTTGTGCCAAAGTTCAGCAATAAATGCAGACCTTAACCACTCCCTTGGTGCCTTCCAGGTCTCAATTTATAAAGTATGTTTGCTCAAGAGCAGTTTAAATCCCTAAGGATGGTAGATCACACATGATGTGTCTACCCAGTGACCTCAAAGTACCATAACATGTTGGTTATCTTGCTGGTGTTTTGGTTAAACAAAATGTGTATGTTAATTAGATTCATCAGTGTCAGCAAGAATTTATAATGTCTCCACAGGATTCAGAGGTATATTAAGAATATGAGCTAAAGGAAATAATAGATACAGCCAAACGTTATTGAGTTTTATTCTTATATATTAGTCTTTGCTTTACCCATTCCTTAAATGTTTGTGAATCAAACGTAGTGGTTGTAGACAGTGCTCACACACTGCAGGAACAGGTGAACCTCAATGAGAGATAAACTAGTTGACAAAGTGGCAAAAAAAAACCACAAGAACATTGTTCATAAATGTTATCAAAGATGGATTATGAACAAATTTTTGTTACATATATGAAAATTATGAACTTCTGAACCCAAGCTAGTTCAAGGAGTCTCAGAGGCGAAATAAATCAAACATTGCTTTGTTGGTTCTGGAAATAAACAAACACAAAATATATAATACCTTTACTTTAAAGTAGAATTATAAGTGCAACCAGAATGTGAAAGAACTTATTAGCATTTTTTAAATGGCACTTGGTTTTATGAATCTTGTAACAGTCTAATGACATTTTCATTACTTTTCTACAAAATGTTTCCCCTTGCATTGCTTTCATTTTCTAATATTAGATCAAAGCTTACAGAAACCAATTTTACACATTTAGGAACTAAGCTTTCTTTTAAAAATTTTATAGCTTTATTGAAGTATAATTGACATACAAGAAAGCTGCATATATTTAAAATGTGCAATCTGAAAAGTTTTGACATGTGCATACACCTGTGAAACCATTACAATAATCAAGATAACACATATTCACCTGAAAAGTTTCCTTGTACCTCTTGAGAATACCTTCCTTCTGCATTTCCATTTTACCCTATCCAACCACTGATCTACTATGTTACCATGGTTCATATTTTCTAGAACTTAGGTAAATGTAATTTTATAGTATAAGTTCTTTTTGGTTTAATTGTTTCTCTTACAACAATTTTGAGATTCATTCATGTTGTAGTGTGTATCAATAGCTTAGTATTATTYTGTTTTTCAATTATCACATTTAGTCAAGTTGTAGTTAATTTGGTTAAACAGAGTATTTTCCTTTAACATCCCAAACATGTATATTTCATCAGGCTAAATAGGGAAAGAAAAGAGATTTTTTTTCTTTTTTCTTTTTCACAACAATTTTAGTTAGAAGTAGAAATTTTCCAGAAATCCAACATTTTCTATCAGATCTCAAGATCAATTTTTTCTTTCAAAGTGTATTTTTATTGTGGTTTAGCTTAAGTATTGGATAACCATACTTCCATTATTTATCTTAGACCCGAAACATCAGCATATAATATTGTTCCTATGTGCTTCAAATAAAATTGTGTTCTGATGTTGGTAATAAGGCTCAGCACATAGAATTGTGCTGGATGGGCATGGTATGACTCTGGGGACATAGTGTAAATCAKGCACCCTAAGGTTTCTAAAGTTCATAACTTACAGGATTACACAAGGCAGCTAACTCTAATAGAGGAGGATGACTGAACAGAGAGAAGGAGGAACAAGTCGAGGTAAGAAAAAAAAAAAACAAGCTAAGTGCTATATCATAGAAATTAAGGATGAAAATAATTAAGAGGTTTAAAGTGGTCATTAGTATCAAGTGCAGAATCAAATGAGAATCATTCTCTTTGAACAGGCTTCAGAATTACCTGCCTAAAAATAATACCTCTTCTGGTCTTGTACCTTTATCCAGCTACCACCACATTTTTCTTTAAAGGAAAAATATCCTCAAAAGTTATTACATTCATTGTGTCTTCTTTCCTTACCTCCCATTTATTCTACAACTCATTCTAATAAGGCTCTCTTTTGAACACTCAATAGACTATATATATATATMTSTGTGTGTGTGTGTGTGTATGTGTATGTGTGTGTTTATACAACCACATATACATACATACATAGTTATTTCATCAGCTGGTGGTTTAGTGTATATATGTATATAAATGTATATAATATATAAATGTATATACATGGGGATATGGCTATATATGTATATACACATATATACACACATTTGTATATATAAAGCACTTAAAATACCTCAAAATTACTTACATAATTATAAAGTATGTATACATATACACAAATACATATAAACATGTAACACATCCTCCCTCCCACAAGCCCTCGCAACCACAGATCTTTTTATTATCTACTTAGGTTTGCCTTGTCCAAAATGTCATATAATTAAAATCATATGGTATGCAGCCTTTTTCGGGTTGGCTTCTTTTACTTATTATTATGCACTTAAGATTCTTCCATGTCTTTTCATGATTTGATAGTTCATTTCTTTTTGGTGCGGAATGATATTTCATTGTCTGAATGTACTATGGTGTCTTTATCTACTGACTTACTAAAAGATGGCTTGTTTGCTTCCAACTTTTAATAATTATGAATAAAATTGCTTTAAATATCCATGTACAATTTTTTTTTGTGGTGCTGGGTTTTTAACCCAAGGTCTTGTGCATGCAAGGCAAGCACTCTACCAACTAAGATATATCCCCAGCCCAATGTACAAGTTTGTGTGGGGACATAAATTTACAGTTCCTTTGTTTAAATGCCAAGGAACACAACTGCTGGACTGCATTGTAGAAATAGTTTTGTAAGAAATTGCCAAATTCTCTTCAAAAGTGGCTATACCATTTTGCATTCACACCAACCATGAATAAGAATCCTAATGCTTTACATCTTCATCAGCATTTGGGGTTCACAGTGTCTGAATTTGGCCATTTTAACTGTGTATAGGGTTATCTCATTGTTGTTTTAATTTCCAATTCCCTAGTGACATATGATGTTGAACACATTTTCATAGGATTGTTTGCCATCTGTGTAGTATCTTTAATGAAGTGGCTATTACCCATTTTCATTGTGTTTTTTTAAATTTCCTTTTGTTGAGTTTAAGGTTTTTATATATTGGACAACAGTCATTTATTGGATATGTCATGTCTTGGATAAGCATTTTCTCCTAGCCTGGTACGTCTTTTTATTCTCTCGGTAAAAAAAAAAAAAAAAAAAATTAATGACCAAACAGCATAAGAAATGACATTTTGATAAAATGGTAAATTCCTTTTATATGCATTTAGTTTACTAATGTTTTCATTATACCCTGTACTTGATGGCACTAACTATAGTACTGAAATGAAATCACTCCTATTAAAATTTTGAATTCACACAGATATATTTTAAGGAAAGAAAACTACCAGAAGACATGACAATAAGTAGTACAAATCTCACTCTCTAGAGCTAAAGACAGAGTGAGAGGTTCATTTCTATATTAGTCTAGTCTTAAAATTCTTTCTACCCATATTTGTAAAGAGACAACTTCAATCTCTATATCTCATAGAAGGTAAAAATCTTAAAAGATTTTATACAAAAACTGCAATCTCCTCAGAAAGACAACTACACTGAACATGCAAACATTTGCTTCTAAATGAATAGAAACCATGTGAAATGAACTATATARAAATACTAAAAA